TCAGGATACAGATGGCAAAAAATATCATACAATAGGACACAAATGGAATATTGGAAAGAATATGATACAAGTGGCATTTTTGTCATAGTTCGGGTGTTGTAGTGGTATTAGCCCATAGAAAAACTAACCCAATTAACAACACCATACCCGACTATGACAATTCCGATGTTGGTTATGACAATTTCGATGTTCTGCTGGACAGCTGGGTTCTTCTTCAATAGCTGCCGGAGGGGAAGGGGAAGCTCGATAGATACAAACTGTCAAGAATTACACATGAGCTAGAATCGGTAAAAAGAAACAAAAGAACTGATGTTGTTTGGGCAGGCGACGATAAGGGATTTCGCGGCGAGGCGGTGGCGTCGCGGCGAGGTTGTTTGATGTGGCGTCGCGGCAGAGAAGCGCTGGGATTTGGCGTCGCGGCGAGGTTGTTTGGGAAGGCGACGATAGGGGATTTCGCGGCGAGGCGGTGGCGTCGCGGGAGGTTGTTTGCGGTGGCGTCGCTTTGGTTGTTTGGGCAGGCGATGATGATGAAGATTTTCTACCCAATCTGGCCCGATGATGGAGCCAGCATAGACAGGATTGGGCTTTGAGGTAGGGCCCAAACATTTTCTACCACCGGCGGCCCATCTCAATCGAACGGGAAACAGAGCCATTTACCAATTTGGCTTCCTGTGAACTGCGCACAGCGCAGGAAAACAGAAAGCAAAGGTGCTGCGGGCTGGAATCTCTATATTGTTTTGTTAGGATTAGGAGGATTGGCTTCCCGTGAACTGCGCACAGCGCAGGAAAACAGAAAGCAAAGGTGGTGCGGGCTGGAATCTCTATATTGTTTTGTTAGGATTAGGATTAGGATTCTTCTATGTGACTGTACTAATCTTTTAAACTTATTATTATATTCTACCTTGTAATTGAGTTCCCACAACTTATTCATTCATGTGAGTAGTTAATTGACTAATTATTAATTTATTTACTATTTGGATTCCTTTTTTCATATTATTTAGATTCACTCTCTTGACTAATCCTTGGATGATTTATGTTTGAAGTCTTCTTGCATGCATATTGAAATCATACCTAAGAATAATGACCAATATGATATTGACAGTTATGATTTCTATTCCGAGGTTAAGTTATTACAAGATTTTTTACCTAAGAGTGTATTCTTCCTTTTGAAATTTTAAACCTTTTGAAACGTATTGATTGTTTTCATAATGCAAGTATAGTATATAAAATCTTATCAACTATTCTTGTGATTATTGCTATAGCAGAAAAAAGTTTTTCGAAGTTGAAGTTGTTGAAGTCTTATATGCGCTCTACAATGACACAAGAGAGACATAACGGGTTAGCTGTATTGACGATTGAGAATAACTTCTTGAATGGTGCAAAGATGAAAGAGTTAATAGAGAATTTTATTTCAAATTATACTAGACTATTGTTACTTTTTAAACAATGATAGATGATATTATTTCTTTTGTAATAATTTTATGAACTTATGCATTTTTTATTATTATTTAATAAATTTACTTTTAATAAATTTACGCGGAAAAAATTTTAGGGTCACATTTTAAATTTTTGAACAGAGCCTCAAAAAATCGTGGGCCGGCCCTGTATTAGTGGGAAAGTTTGTTTGGCCGAATAAGGAAACCCTAACTCTGCTTCCTGCGAAGGAATGGCAATGGGGCAGGTCCGGGGCGGGTTTCTTGGTACCCAGACCCGCCCCGTGGCAGGTCGGGTAATTTATCACGGGTCGCGGGTCGGGGCAGGTCGACCCATTGGGTATGGAATTTATATGAAAAATATTAGAAATATTCGTTATTTTTATATAAAATCAAGAAAACAAACAATATTATGATAAATGTAGTTAATTTCTTGGAGAAATTGAGGTTTTCACTAATTTACAACTTTATTATAGCTAAAATATGATGTAATAAAAGGAAAATCCTAAGTAATTTGACTAAAATTACATGTAATTTAGGAAAGAACGGGTTGAGAATGGGGCGGGTCAGGGCAGATCGGGTCGATGAGAATACCCATGCCCGCCCCGCCTACCCCAAAACAAGCCAAACAGGTCGGGTAAAACGGGTCAGGTCGAATATGGTTATGAAAGAGAGTTTCCTGCAATTAGCTATTCCTAATTGATGAATCTCGTATATGTTTTTACAGGAAATCCTAATCTGCCTCCTGCGATTAGGGTAAGTGAGAGATTTGTTTACTTTGAATTTAGTAGAGTTGGAGCTGTTGCAACAAAGCGTGTTGTACAGGAAATATGGAGCATGAGTAAGCAATTAAACCAGTGGAGACAATTGAGCTGGAAGAACAAAATAAAAATCAAACAACGAGATTGTCGTTATGGAAAGGGTGTATAAGTAAGAGACAAGCCCATAGGGCTCACTTCTCAAATTCATAATGTCAGCAAATGAGCCAAGTCATCGGTTGTTTGTTAACGAGCCGAGCTCAAGCTAACGAAAACTCGATTCGACTCGGCTCATTTGCAGCCCTAGGTGACATTATGAATTTGAGAAGTGAGCCTCTATGGGCTTGAGCTCGGCTCGTTTATTAACGAGCCGAGTCGAGTTGCGAGCTAGCTTGCTTAATAAAATCTTGACTCATATTTGATATATTCGTTTTGTATGTAATACATGATACATGTGATTAACGCCAAGATGAAGAAAATAATAATAATAGTTAAGTGTTCAATATTAACTAATTTTATGTTATACTTTGTGGTATCAAATTATTTAGTTAATCAATTTTAATTTGTGAAAAGTATGTTATTTCACAGTATCAAATCAATCTATGATACATAATTGTTTTTTAAAATTAAGTAAAACATATTTGCTCACATAATCTACGTGTTAAACTTCATATAGAGTGAGATATATAATTTAACAATCTTATGAATTATCAAATTCAAACTCATATAGATCGATTCGCTCATAACTCGGTAATCGAGTTGGCTCTCTAGCCACAATCTTGAGGGTTGAGACATCTCATGAGCTCTTAATGAGTCAGCTCACGAGTTGAGCTTAACAAGCTACCGAGTCGAGCTAGCTCGCGAGCTCCACGAGCTGCAGAAGGCTAAGCTCAAGCTCGGCTCATTAGTAAACGAGCCGAGTTTCGAACGAGCTTTTCCCGAGTCGAGCGTCGAGCCGCTCGCGAACAGCTCGGCTCATTTGCAACCCTAATGTCACCACCCCTAAGGAAGAACCATTGGCAGTTGGAAAACAAGAATTTGACTCAATCCTGGTAAGAGTGGTAAGGATGATGGGAATGGTTGGACGACGGGTAGCTACAAAAGCACAAAACATTAAATCCATGAAGATAGCTCTAAGTAAAGGTTGGAACTTAAAGCAAAGGTTCCAAATTACGAAACTGAGTGAACAATTGTTTGCTTTCCAGTTTCTAGAACAAATAAAGTGTTGGAGACAAGGTAATCTTTGGTGGCCCTTGGGACTATGAGTATAATCTCCTACTATTGTATATGTGATGATTTTTTAAGGTTGTGGATTGAGAAGGATATAAGAACACCTTTGAAACCAGAGCTCAAGCTTAAGGTCCAAGATGGCACAACAAAGTTCGACGTAAAACACAAGAAATTACCTTGGTTCTGTTTTGACTGTGGTTGAGCGGCACACCCGTAGATTGCTTATAGCTATCCAATTACTATAGACCACGCCTTGTATGATCAAGATTTGTGGGTCGAGCCACATGAAAACAAACCTTGGAAATCGCAGCTAGAAAAGGAAGAACATGGAGATTTATGAAATGCATTGAGAGCAAAATTTGATAGGGAATGCGTGACAGAGAAGGCTCGATTAGAAGAAAAAAGGAGATGGCAAAACCAATAAGGCATGAAATGTCTGGACGGCAATGCTCCCCCAAACCAGGACTTTAATAATGCCCTGGCAGACTGTAGTCTTGAGGACTTAGGGCTATGGGCGAAGATTACTTGAGATAAATAATGACAAGGATGATACATATCTTAAAATGGTGACTACGAGTTCTTGGAAAACTGTTTATCCCAATGCTCGGGTTTATCATCTGCAAGGATGTGGATCTGATCACAATATCCTATTCTTCTACAAACACAACTTATGTCAGAAGAGATAAAGTGGGGTGTTCTTTCGGGTATGAATCGTTTTAGCAAAACCATAATGATATCACGATGGTGATTGATGAGGGACGAAGGATGAGTGGAAATGGAATAGTGATGGGAAGAATCAAGAATTATGAAGATTAGGTTAAAATAATGGAGCAAGTAAACTTTGCCAGACTAAAAGTCAGGAAACAAAAAGGAGAAAAGGCAGTTGAAAAGCTTGAAAAAAACTCCATATAACAGGACTAGTGATAAACCAAAGAATGATGCTGGAAAAAGAATTGGATGAAATCTGGGAACAAGAAGAGATGGTATGGAAATAGATATATAGGACTGAATGGTTGCAAGAGGGTGATCCCAACTTATTGGCGTATTCGGGTCATTCCTATCGTATATTGTCCAGGTAATACTCAAGGGAGTTGATTCAATCGGTCTCCAATATAAAACCCTAGGTTGAATACAGCACCTACACATCCATCATTTTGTCGTTCCGGGTCAATCCCGTGTGAGTCGATCTCATAATGGTAGGGTAGTGAATCGATCAATCTAGGATAGTACTCAACATTGATCGAAACGATAGAACTAGGGGAGTCAATCTAAGAGAGCTCCACAACTTAGTGGTTAGTTTAGTTAGATTAGTTTCTTAATCACTATCCTAGATTGGCTGGATAACAAACCCTAAACTTAAAGTAAGGTAAACTTAGATCCCCGTTGTGCGATAAATTTTATTGCTTGCTTACCCTATACTACACCTGGTCATTGGTTATACTTGGTCGTCGATTGGGATGTGTAGTAATTAGTAACGAGTCACTCAATGACTCAACACTAATAAATGGGGAAATGAAGAACGATGTCAGAGCATTTCTTTTTTGGTAAGAAACGGAGCGCTTAAAGGGCGCCCCAACCTTTATTCAATAACTAAACGAGGTGTCTGAACTCCAATAATGTCATGGTACAACCAATAAGCCAAAACACTATCCGGATTCACAATATTATGCAAACCAATAGGAAGAGAGTGACCCAGATTAGCGAGGTAGTCTGCAACAACGTTCGCTTCCCTGTAAATATGAGTAATGAGGACTTGCCAGTCCTGAGCTAACCAACGTCGTATCTCAGCGACGCTCGTGTAATGGATGTGTTGAGGTGTGGCCGTCTCAATAAGGGACTTAGCCATAGCAGAATCTGTCTGTAGAATTACCTTCCTAACTCCTGCCTCCCAAGCGAGTTTCAGTCCATGCACAATTCCTGCCAGTTTCAGTCCATGTCAGAGCATTTCTCCTCTTACTTTCCTTTGCCTCTCAATTTTTTTTCCAATAAATAGACTTTTAATAATGTGAACTTATTGATAGACATATGATCATATGTCTAGAAGAAGCCTATTCGAGATCTAGAAAGGGCTAGCTCAAGGCCCACAACCCATATATTCAAGGGTAAAAAAAAAAAAGAAACCCAACTAAAACACTTATAACAAATAAAAAAAATTCCTAAATTAATATCAAACAAGTAATAATAAATGACATATCAAGGTACAAGAAGGCGATAGAAGTAAGGCGGAGTTGGGACCTTGCCTAGGCGTTGAAAGAAAAAATAGCATTTTTTACTACCTAATGAATGAACTAACAATTTACAATACTTTTACACTTAGGCGAGACGTTTTGGCATTGCCTAGCATCTAAGTATGCTTAAGCATAAGATTAAAAGTGCATTTTTGAACCATGAGAAATACATTACATAATACGCAAGTCTAATTCTTCGAATTGTCATGTCGGCGCAACCTCGTGACATATACTTTCCTTCTTTTACTAACTTAAATATTGAAGGGTGTTCTGCTGGTTCTTTGTATATGAGCTACAGACATGCGAGACAATGAACACTCTTATTTCTACAATGTTCATCTACTATTTGCTCACACACAATACAAATACAGTAGCAAACTCTCCATAGTTTGCATTTCAGGACAAACCAGAACAAACGCTTCATCATGGAACTACTTATTACGACTAGAAAGGCTGTTAATTCCATAGCTGCCAATTTCTCAGTTCAACTTTAGGGCACCCTCCAAAGCATCAGCCAATTCCGGGACTCTGAAGTGAGAGATTTGGATGTTCTCAACATCAAGCTTCTTGAAATTGCTGGCTTTCCTTGTGAGAAGGAATTTCCCCCAGTTGTAAGCCTTGTACTTAGCAGGGCTCTCATTGCTCACCAATTCCTCCAAGGGTTCCACCACGGTGTAATGTGATGGATTGAAGAAGAAAGGGATCGAAAACCTCTCCCTCTCGGAGTTCACCATCACCCTGTGCTCCACGCTCTCATACGCCTCATTGCTCCAAACCTTAAAAAAAAAAGACACATATGTTATTGAAATATGAGGAGTATCCATCCTAGTCCATGGATGAATTATCCAAAGAGAATCGTTTAATTGTAGCAAGAGCACGAAAAAATGTAACATTTCTGATCACAATCCTTTTTCGTAGCAGAAGTAGGGATGACAATTACCCACCCATGGGTAATTTTACCCAAATCCATATAGATCCATTTAGTATGGGTAGGGTTTGGATGTAGTGTATATGAGTTTGGGGGTTTGTAGATAGGTTTGGGTTAGGTATTGATATTGCTTTCCTAATCTAAATCGGTATGGGTTGGATATGAATATATATTTACTTGAGAGTGTTTTAACTACACACAAAAAAATGGACATATTTGTAAAACTTGAAAAGTCTAGGTACCAAAATGTAAGATAAACAATTTTAGGTATTAAAATGTAATTTTTCATCAATATTTTGAGGACTTATATGCAAAAAAAATTTAGGTACCAAATATGCATATATATTAAGTTTAGGTACCAAACTGTAATTTGCATTTGGGTATGAGTACAAACCCAAATCAATGTGTTAAAAATCCAACCAAACCCAAGTAAATGGGTATGGGTACAAACCCATCAAACTCTACCCATTTATCATTTGTTGAGAATTCATACCCAACCCAATTAGGTTGGATAATAGAATACTAATGGTATGAGCAAAATTGTCATCCCTATCCCTAAGCAGAACGCATTCTTGGAAAAATATATCAGTCTAGCAGATTTGTAAATATTTTATCAATAAAATTTAATTAATTAGTTTATAGCTAATCTCGTATGAGTTGGTAGTTATCAAGGAAGATTGTAACGGTGAATGAAGCAGGCGATTGTAATCCGATCCGATGATGATTTTGGGCACCTGAATGATGTCACCGACGTTGATGATGTAAGCATCAGGAGTTGGGCTGGCCCAAACCCACTGCCCGTCGGACTTCCTCTTGACCTCCAGCCCACCAACGTCGTCCTGGGCCAGGACGGTCAAGGCCCCGGCATCTTTGTGGCGACCAACGCCAAGGGCCAGGTGAGGAACCGGGCAAGGTGGGTAGTGATTCAGCCGCACGAAGCTGGTTTGGTCCTTGAAAAAATCCTCGAACCGGTCCGCCCGCAGCCCAAGGCTCAAGGCTATCAGCTCCATCAGCTTGAACGCCAGCTTCTCCACAGCTCTGGCGTATTCCTCGCATGCTCCCCTGTTTTCACATGTTCATAAATTGTACTAAATTGGTAACAGAGCTACGATTGATGACAGCAAATTGAAATGAATGACGAGAGCTTCTTTTTTTTTCTTAATACCTGAGATGAGGTGGGAAATCAGGCCACTGATTGTGCCACTCATCAACTTCCTGATCATCAGGGTGATAAGAAGCTGTAACGAAAGTCGGATCCTCCACAGTCAAATCGAAGACTTCCTTCCAATCCCTCACGTTCTTGGTATGCTCGGTGTCGTAGTAACCCAAAACCCTCTTCTCGTCCCTTCTCACCTTCCTCTTCTCATCCAACGGCTGGGCAAAGAATTCCTTGGAAGCGGCCATGATCCTCTGCCGGGTCTCCAGGGGAACTCCATGATTGACCACCTGGAAAAACCCCCAATCCCGGCAAGCATTCCGGATTTCCTCCACGAGGGTTTCTGAAGGTTGTTGTGAAGGGTCGTTGCTGGTCAGCTCGGAGAGATCGATTAAGGGTATCCCTTGTGCTTGAACGATTTCAAGCTTGGGCCTGTGCTCTGGCTGTTGAAAGTACGCTGGATCCACCTCTCCCATGGTTTTTATGTTGTTTTTTTCTTCTTCTTCTTCTTCCTGAAGTCTGATTAGTGTGTACTATTTTGTTGTGGTGGAGGGTTTGTTATATAGTTGAAGAGTTGGGTTAGCTTCGTGTTTGTGAAGGGTTTTCTCATTATTTGAATCCGGGCAAAGGACAAGGAGTAGGGCCTGCCATAAGGGGAAGAGTGAATCTGGACGGGTTTTGGGGTGAAATTAGTGGGGAAAGGAGTAGACGTAGACAAATTTGTGTGTGTCAAATGTATGTCACCCTTTTTTGAACTTAATGGAAAGTGGAGGTTGATAATCTTTTTACCACAATCTGTTGTGAATGTGGTTCAGTGCGTGTTGATGTTGTTGAGTTGATTTTGTTCTCGTTATAGGTATTTACAAAAACATCGTTGTATTTCATTCGTTTGTTAGTAGTATATGAACATGAGACAATGATTTAATGATTTAATACGTATTTGTTTGAACATTTTTTCTAGACGTCATTGCTAGTAAAATTTGATAATCCTCTCTTCCAATTAGTTTTTTTTCCCTTCTTTTTTTCCTCGTTGTATATAGCTTGTCAGTTTGATGTGGCTGGAATTAAGATTAATCCATCAGTATATGATTTGACGTGGTAGTGGTTAAAAACATAAGCTGGAGGTAATTAATAATTTTGCTATGCATAAAGACGAATGCTTTTACATCTATAGTTTGGGCCTCTATTTGGAAGCACATTGCTCATTCGGCAAACTCTTTGATGCCCTTCTCTCTAGTAGAGGTGTATTATTGGGGACCGGATATGGTGACAACACCATATTTGTTGTTATTGTAACGACAACATAGGTGGACCAATAGGAACCCACCATTCTGCATACTTTTGAAATTCATGCGTTGACTAGGGTAAAATACAAAGGAAGGGTGTTTTTGTCCTACCAAAAATTTCCAGCTCCTTTTGTCTGAAAATTTCCAGCTCGTTTCTCTCTCCCCACTTATTCTCTCTCCAATCGCGCGGCGCCGAGGCTGAACGAGGGCGACGAATCCTCATCGCAGCAACTACTGCAACGGCGATGACGCAACGGCGACGAGATCCTCATCGCAGCAGCTACTGCAACGGCGGCGACGAGATCCTCATCGCATCAGCTACTGCAACGGCAGCGACGAGATCCTCATCGTAGCAGCTACAGCAACGGCGGCGACGAGATCCTGATCGCAGCAGCTACCGCAACGGCGGCGGCGAGATCTAATCGTAGCAGCTATCGCAACGGCGGCGAAGGCGGAGCAAGCTCCTGATCGCAGCTAAGACATTGACGATGGACGAGAATCGTGTAGATGAAGTTTCTGTTGGTTCTGTAGATGCTCAACAACTCCTGCAAATTGCAACATCTTCTGACAATGCAACAGAAGTTGGATATCAGCTGGAAACCTCTATTTCCACCAACAGTGGCAACAATGAACAAGAAGAAGGTACGCTCAACTCAATCCTTCCTGTTTTCTTACAATGAGCACCACAATCATGCTTATACAAGCCATTTACCATATCATAAGCACTACCAATCAAACCGCCCACAAAAATCCCACAAACGATACCAAAAGCATCGCCAAACACACCACATTCTTCCCAAAACAAACCACAGGAAAAAAAAGAGACAATCAACCAAAACACTTAAAAAACAAACCACAAAACTTCTTAAACGCACCAAAACACCTCCAATGCACACCATTAAAACCTAAATCGTTACATTCCGGAATCTGTTTGTAAAAAAAGCACACTGTAATGCAAACCATAAATGTCATAAAAGAATCATGAATAACTACAATGCAAACCACTTTTCACTTTTCTAGCAAATATCATCGCAAGATGAAATGATCAAACCGCCCACAAAAATCCCACAAACGATACCAAAAGCATCGCCAAACACACCACATTCTTTCCAAAACAAACCACAGGAAAAAAAGAGACAATCAACCAAACCACAAACTTCTTAAACGCACCAAAACACCTTCAATACACACCATTAAAACGTAAATCGTTACATTCCGCAATCTGTTTGTAAAAAAAATCATACACTGTAATGCAAACCATAAATGTCATAAAAGCATCATGAATAACTACAATGCAAACCACTTTTCACTTTTCTAGTAAATATTATCGATGAAATGATCAAGTGCTCATTTCTGTCATCATTGCTTACAGGTGTGGCATCAAACAGGTCCGAGTCAGACTACACTAGTTTGGAGTTGGCATTCAAAACCATTGAGGAAGCAAAACAATTCTACAAGAACTATGCTCACGATCTTGGCTTCAGCGTGAGGGACATGGGAGCTGTCAAACGTTCTACAACAAGACAGCCAACCAAAACAGCACGATATGCTAGGTATTGCTGCAGCAAAGAAGGATACAAGACCACAAGCAAGTCAAATCCCAAGAATAAAGGATCAATAGATGTCAAGGCTTATCAACGTGCTGTACCAGAAACTAGACTTGGCTGCCCAGCTATAATCAAATTCAGATATGATATCGAGAAGGATGAATGGCTGCTGGACAAGTGGATAACAGAACACAACCATGATCTCCTCCCTCCAAAATTCAAACATCTCTTGATGTCGAACAAGGGGATCTCAGAAATGAATGGTCGCAAAAGTGCATGCAGATTGTGGAGTTTCACTACGGAAATCATATGAGTTGTTCACCACAACTTCAGGGGGGAGGGTGAATGTACATTTTACCCCTCATGATCTGAAGAACTATATCACAGGGACAAGGCAGAAATCAATGAAACCAGGCGAAGCAACTATACTTCTTGAACATTTTCGCCAGGAAGCTTACAAGAATCCATCATTCTTCTATGAAATTGAGGTAGATAGTAACGAAGATATTGCAAGTATATTCTGGGCTGATGCAAGAATGCAGTTTGACTACAGTTGCTTCGGAGATACGATCAGCTTTGACACCACATACAGGACAAACCAGAATTATCGTCCACTAGGTCAGTATTCCTTGCACTAGTTAATTTTCTTGAGATTTCGAAGTTGAATGCATACCAAACATTACACAATGCATTATGAGGTTTCTGGTGTGATTTCGCAAATGTTGTGGTTTGCTTTGTGAGGTTTGTGGTATTCTTTGTGAGGTTTGTGGTTTGCATTAAGAGGTTTCTGGTCTGCTTCCGCAAATGTTGTGGTTTGCTTTGTGGGGTTTGTGGTCTGTTTTATAAGATTTGTGGTGTGCATTAGAAGGTTTGTGGTTTGCATCAAGAAGTATTCCTTGCACTAGATAATTTTCTTGATATTTCGAAGTTGAATGCATACCAAATATTACGCAATGCATACCACAAACCTCCTAAACCATACTAAAAACGTCCTGAAACACACCATATATATCATAAAAGACAGTCTTTGTTTGTTTCAATGTTTAATTCTATGTTGTTCTTTTTTTTATTTTTAAATTACAGCTTTGTTTGTTGAAATGTATGCCAGGCATCCGACCAACATCAATATTCACCGACCAAGCTGCTGCAATCGCCGCTGGGATTAGATCCGTCATTCCTGAAGCATTCCATGGCTTGTGTACTTTCCATATCAAGCAGAATGCAGTGAAGCATCTCGACACCACAAACACAAACATTCTAGAAGATCTGAAATATGTCACTTTTGGAGTAGAAAATGAGGAAGAATTTGAGTACAATTGGTCAAGGTTGCTAGACACATATTATCCAGAAGAAGGCACCAATCCAAGAAACTGGTTGGATTCAATTTACAAGGTGAGGAAACAGTGGCCTTCAGCATGGATTAAGGACCACTTCACAGCTGGTATGCGAAGCTCGCAGCTGAGTGAGTCTTGTAACAGCAACCTCCGAAACTACCTTCAACCAGATGACAACCTAGTTGAGTTCTTCACATACTTCAACAAGTTGCTCGAACGAAAAAGATTAGACGAAATGGACATGGATTATCAAATGGCAAACACAGTCCCAAACAACATGTACGTATTACTTCCTTTATTTGAACTTTTTATACTGTAGAATGCATCCATAGAACAGTTGAATACAACCAGATAACACCTAAACTAACCCAAAAAGCCTACAATCCACACCACAGACCACCTAATCCAAACTATAAACACCAAAATGCACACCGCACAAGCTTAAACAACCAAGATACCACCTAAACCAACCCAAAAACCCTACAATCCAGACCACAGACCACCTAATACAACCCATAAACACCACAATCCACACCACACACTACTTAAAATAACCCATAAATCCCACAATCCGCACCACAAACAGTACAATACATACCATAAAATCATTAATGTAGACAAGATGCTTATGAATGATTGTATGTTGTATGTCATCTTCCAACAGGTATGACAGGAGCCCACTTGTTCAGCAAGTCGCAAAATTATACACAACTAAGATCTACAGTTCTTTCCTTGAGGAGTATTCAGAAAGCCTTGCTTTTTTGTGTTCCGGAATGAATCTATGGATAGAGATGGAATGAAAGCTTATGAAGTGAAGAAACTGGGAGGATTTGACAAAAGAGTCGTGTTAGTGAACAAAGAGGAGAAGAAATACAAGTGCTCATGTCGTTTGTTTGAAAGTTCAGGCTAGTTGTGCAGACATGTAATCAGGCAGATAGAGATGGTTGGATTCAATGGTGATGATATTGAGCAATTGACTATCCCTAAGGAATACATTCTGCCACGATGGACGAGAGATGCCAAATATGGAGAGAAGTTCACAATAAACACAACAGAATGTGCTGCAACAGATACTTATGCAGGGAGGTATCAAGAACTGTGTGCTAGCATGGTTATCCTAGCAACAAAAGTCTCAATGAATGACAAGGTCTTCTCAATGGTTAAGGAAAAGATTGCAGAGCTCACTAAACTAGCTTTCCAAAGCCTTCAGACTCAAGAAACTCAGCAATCAGTACCTGGTAATTTCACACATCTTGTTAGCATCCCTACTTATATTCACCAGTAATTGATTAATCCAAGACACTAATGATCTAATGCAAACCATAAACATCTTAATCCAATCCACTAATTGCTTAATCCCTACTTATGTTCACCAGTATCTTGCATATTGCTTTTTCAACAGATGGAACCAC